GTAAGACTAGAGAGAAGGCAGCTAGTCATCACCACCCACCGCCAACTCTTGGCCTACTCTTTTACCAACGAATAGTGGGATTGACCGTCACATAATAACGCCCCCACGGCTGAAAGAGCGAGCATGTTTGGACGGGGATTCGAACCCGCGACCCACAGACTGCGAGTCGAACGCCCTAACCATGCCGGGCCCCTCTTACTAACTGGGTAGATGTTTACTAAAATAAAGAGATTGGGCAAAGAGTTTTAGAGAAAATTAACGATCTTTATTATAAACACAGTGTGTGCACTCGCTCTTTATTTGCGTCGGACTGCTGTTTCTCTTGATCACTGAATTGACTACTAACGAACAAGTTCTAGATTATATTCAATGATATTCCAGAACAGACTGTTTAATCCAAGGTTTCTTAGTTTCAAAGAAACCTTGCATTTACCCAGAGTGACATATGATATCACATGACTGGTTATTCTAATCCTCAACCTCTAGATATAACCTGTACAAAGAAACAAAGGTAAATTGAAACAACATAAAATTAATGGTTTTTCTCATTCACGTGTTATATGAAATCTTCGCATATTCAAAACAGAGAAAAGATTCAGAAAAATTATTAAGATACTACAAGAAGATAGAAACATGTGGTATATTGATATACCACAATTGTTGGGGAATGCTATATGTTTATTCTAGTGTTTTCCTTTCTTGCTGACATGTTTCTGAACACTTATGTCTTTTAATAAAGCACAATTTAAACACCACCTAAATGAACATCGAAAAACACTGCTATCGATATATGTACATCGATACAACATATAAGGCACTGTATATTCATATACCATCCTTTCCTGTCTTCCCCACACAAAGCTTGTCCTAAAGCCGACAATCAATTTACAATTAAGCCTAATAAATTATAAACACGCACCCCAGTCGAAAAGTACTTAAACTTTTTCTTGCCCCTGAATACATTTACATGAAACCCCAATGGCACAACACTTTGACAAAGTAAATACAATAAAACCGATAAAATCACTCTTTACCATAGAAATATGGTAGAAAAAAAACCTTTAGAAAAAGAAATAATTCTGTTGTAATATACTCTTTCATAGGGCAGATTATTTTAAATTATTTGGTGAAAATAATACAAAGTTCAGTCAACGTAATGATAACAAATTAGTATTGTTACGACGGCGGAAGTCACGTGACGCTGGTAACATGTGATGAGATTCTCGAAAGAACATGAATTTTCCTGGCAATTCTAGTTTGTTCCAGGCGCCCTTTTTTTTTAATATATAAGTCCGGCAAATAAAGCGAGGATAGAATTGCATAGATAGATAGATATAGAGAGAGATAATTGAGTCAACACCAGACAATGTGGGAGAGTTAAGAAGTTTCTTGGGACTTTGCACCTATTACCGGAACTTTGTGAAGGACTTTGCAACTATAGCTGCTCCACTACATGATTTAGGAAAAAAGGCTAGAAGTTCAAATGGACAGTTTC